TTGATAAGCTTCCCGAATGCTCGTTCCGAGCCCCCGACACCTCGGCAACGCTCCCCAAGGCGCGCTTCCCTCCTGATGCTGGACTCCTTCACTCCCGTCGGCCTGTCCGAGCCCCTCACGCGCAGCAGGCCGGATATTCCCGGAGATCTCTCCAGGAACATCTGGACGACGGCACGACGACGATGCCAACAGTGATGCCCATGGCTGCGATGATGAGAAAGTGCACGATGATGATGATGATGATGATGATGATGATGATGATGATGATGATGATGGTGGTGGTGGTGATGATGATGGTGATGATTATGCTGGTGATCATTATGGTGATGATCTTGCCCCCGTCCCGGACAACTTAACGTGGCCGCCAGGCGGCCCTAGAAGGCTTTCAAGAGGCTCACATGAGGTTTCCTGCAGGCATCCAGGACGGACCAACATGTACCCAAGATGGTCATGACGAATATATTGATCCAGCTGGTTGTGATGATAAGACGGACCACTGTTATGATACTGATGGTGTTGATGTTGTTGTTGATGGCGACGATGATGATGATGACGCTGATGCTGATGATGATGATGGTGAGAAGGAAAGGTACTGTTCGTTATGATGGTGATGGTGATGATGGTGATGCTGCTGTCGATGATGATGACGATGGTGTGTATGATGGTACTGCTACGGATGCTGAGGATGGTGGTCATAATACATATGCTGATGTTGATGGTGCTGTTGATGGCAATGCTGATCATGATACTGATGATGATGCTATTGATGATGCTCGTGGTGATGATGAAGATGTTGATGATATTGCTGATGGTGATGATGCTGCTGATGATGATGCGGCCCATGGTGCTCATGATGATGATGATGCTGATGATGAGGACGGCATCGACAATGCAGACGGTGATTATGATGATGCTGAGGATAAAGATGCTGATGCTAATGGTGACGGTGACGATGATGCTGACAGTTAACATCATGATGTTCATGATGTTTCTGGCTCCTTCTCCTCAATTCGGCGGCGTCTCTGAAGCTGCTGAAGGGGCCCAAGTTTGCTGAAGCTGCTGGAAGCTGCGCTGGAGGCCACGAGGACTGTTCCGAGCCATCAAGAGCCTCCCAAAACGACCCAAGCGATCTTGAAGAGCCCAGGCGTCAGACGAGCCAAGAGACCCCCTATGACAGCCAGCGAATCCCCTCCGAGGCCCCAAGGCAGCACCAACAGGCCTCCAAGAAGCCTCCAAGATGTCCCAAAGAGGTTTGTAAGAGTCCAACTAGACGTCCAAATCGTTCTCGATGGGCTGGCTTTTTCGCTCTCGATGGGCTGGCTTTTCAGGCCTCCAGATGCCCTCGAGACGGCCCGAGGGCTGACGACACCAGAGAAGACGACCCCGAGAGAACCAACCAGATTCCAGAAGCCCAGGAGCCCGCCCCCCGCCCCCCCCCCCGTCGAAAACGCCTCCAAGGGGCTCCCCGAGGCGTGCAATCGGCAGGATGCTCCGGGAGGCCTCTCCGGGAACGTGGGCCGACGACTACGACGACGACGATGACGATGTTGATGTTCATTTTGGTGGCTATGAGGATGATGGGCAAGCCGATGGCAGTGACGATGTGCACGATTAGCGCAGCGGTGTTGATGATGATGATGATGATGGGGGTGAGACTGCCAGGAACACCAGGATCAGGATAAGGATGATTACGATGTTGGTGATGACGCGAATGCTGATAATGATGTTGATGATGCTGATGGTGATAGTGATAATACTGATGATGAGGTGGTGGAGATGAAGATGAAGCTGCTGATGCTGCTGCTGCTGATGATGATGATGATGATGATGATGATGATGGTAACGATGGTAGTGGTGATATTGATAATTCTGATGATGTTGATGATGATGACGGTGCGTATCATGGTGATGCTGGTGACGCTGATGATGGTGATAGTGATGGTGATGATGATGGTGATGATGAGGAGGTCTGACGATGATGGTGGTGGTGACGGTGGTAATGACGACGATGTTTCTATTGATGATGTCGGTACGCGAGTTTGACGTGACCGCACGTGTAGCAGCACTGGGTCAAGGATGTTCATTTTGAACCTGTTCTTGATCATGATCATCTTGATTATGAGCACGGTCAGTATTACGATAACGACGAGCAAGATGATGAGGATGAGTATGGATGGGGATGAGGATGAGGGTCAGAATTGGTACGGCTGTAGCACACGCTTGTGCACGGTGGCGCTGTCCACACTGTTCTAGCGACCCCTCGCCCTGCGTTAGAACCTGAGCGTGCGCGACGCGCGAGCGAATTCACACACATATGTATACACATATATTTTTGCATCGATATCTATATTCACACATATTCACACATACATATATATGTGTATATATATATATTCAGACATGCATGTCTATGTGTGTCTGTGTGTATGTATATATATATATGCCGGCGAATATTGCATGTGCCTTCGGGGGGGCGGTGTATAAAGTCGCTGGCTCTCAACCGTGGTGTATTCACCGCCACCACCCCTGAGGCCCAGGAACAGTCAATTGGAGAGCGTATCTGTGTACATGTTTGGTGGCGGATTGTCGCGTCGTAAGGAATATTTTCCGACCTACGGTGGGGTCTCGCTGGGCCGCAAAGAACGACTCGGGATGAAAAGCCGGTCCCGGAGAATGGGTCTGGATTTTAGGGGACCGCGTATTCAACAGGACGTCGCATGTTTGGGTCCAAATTTACCCATCGGCGCTCCAAGTAATGTTCTACGAACATCCGGTGGTTTGCGCAAAGTGTTCATGGAACATTTCTGGCGCGGGTTGTTTTGTTTCGATCCTTCGCTTTGGGGCTATAAGAAAACCCGTTCTGTTGTTAGAACACTCTTGTGGTGTAAGAACATCTCGCGGTAGGCCAGCAGGAATGCCAGGACGGTTGGTCCTTGCTCAAAGACGATAGGCGGCGCGCGCGCGCATGTCGGAGGCGTCCCTGGATACATGTATTGCGTCTCTCTTGGGGCTATTCGTCTCAGTCGCTGCCTCCGAGCGGGGGGGGAGTCGCGAGGGCGGCGGCCTTTCTACGAACAACACCTCAGTGCGTTTCGCGATCGCGGCAGGGCGCGGCGTAGCAGATCTGGAGACGGCCTGCTGGGAATGAGAAGGCGGGGGTCGGAGGGCCAGAGTTTGGCACCATCACCGATATCGGGCGCGAAGATTCAAGATGCACCCCATCTCGGCCATGGTGGTGCAACCTTGCCGCAAACACCCGCCAAATCTAGGATCATCCACCCCTGGTGGAGGCGAGACCCTATGCTGGTGTCAGCTACAAAGCTCCAAGGGGAGGGGTCTCAGAAGGCAGGGGGGTCTCCTCACAAGCCCTCCGTGATTCTGCCAGAAGCCTTCTCAGTGGCCCCCTGCCTGGAGGCCACCCTCGTGCGCGCTGCCAGCAGAGGACGACATGCACATTCTGCGGCCATTCGTGGACCGTCGTGTCCGATCGTCGCTGGGGCATCGGACACCCTCGCAGGGGATCACTTGGCTGTGGACATCCTTTCAATTCTGACCCCTCGCTGGCGTCTCAAGGGGTGTGACCTGCAGGGGTCGGTTTCATAGACGGTTGCCCACTGATGGTGCGTTCCAGATGCGGCCTCGCCGTGGAGGGATCGACGAGAGGCCTCCCCTCCCTCGGCGGAAGGCCAGCGGAAGTAAAATGGGGGCGGCTCTGCCGGCGGAAGGTCAGCGGAAAGCGGCGGAAGTAAGGTTGAGACGGTCGGTTTTTTTATTCAGGGTATCTGGAGTCGGCCGCATGTTGGGCAGGAAGACAGCGTAAGATGACGAGGTAAGCGTCCGAAAAGAATCAAACATTCCAAACAAAGTATAGATTTCTCTTCCGCTTGGTCTTCCTTATTTGCCTCCTCCTCCTCCTCCTTCCCCTCGAATCTCGATTGGGGGGAATGAATGAAGAGGAGGGCGTGGAGGTCACCTTGGCTGACATGGGGTTGCACCTCTTTCTCGCTTGCATGTGCTTCGTTTGCCGTGGTGTCTTGTGCGCGGTGGTCTCCAGTGGGCAGTCTGGCGTTGCCCAGTATCTCCTGAACGTGATGGCGATGAGTTTGCAGTAGTTGCACGACGGGTGTCTTCTGGTTACAGCATAACGACTATGCCGCCAAAGCAGGGCAGCTGCAGCAAGGATTGTTTGAAGGCTGTGGCGCGTCAGCGCTGATTCCTTTGGATTCACAAATGAATCCTCGATGAGCTCTGGGCGCAGGGTCGCACGACGTCGCACGACCACCACTTGCAGGCCACCTCCAGCATCGAGGATGTCCACGATGCCGATCCGAGCCGTGAATACTGGATATGTCTCGAGCTGGACAGCGTAAAACATGGGGACCACACCACCAACATGGCTCTTGCGCCTGATGATGATGGTATCGCCTCTCCTTGCTCCGCGGGAGACGTAGGGTGTATCTGGAGATCTCTAGAGGTCCCGGGAGGCCTCCAGAGTCCCAAAGACGCAAGGGCGAGGGGAGGAGGATAAGGAGGAGGAGGCGGAGGAGGAGGAGGAGGAGGAGGTGCGGTCGGATCTGCTGAATGACCAAGTCGAGATGAAAGTTTATGTCGGGCTGGTCGCAGTTCGCGGCGGGGGCGGAGGAGGTGGAGGGGGGCCTTGGGACCCGGTGTCCCCATTCTTTCCCAGACGTGGCCCCGGGAAGTCCCGACCCTGTCCTCGCGAGGGCTGGCTCCTCATCCCGAACCTTTCTGGGGCCCAGCGAGGGCCCCCCTGAGGCCTAACACGGCGAGAAAATCCGAGAGATCCACTGTTCCCGAGTCGTTTTTTGGCGGTCGTGGGGCCCGGCGAGGCCGGCCAGGGCCGAAACGTACAAAACACCTCGGCATCGCATTTCTCATCACGCCGTTGGTCGCCGCGTTGGAAGTCTTCCAGGGTTGGAGCAGATAGGGGCTCCGTGTGCGAAGGCTGGCGCGGCCGCCCCTGGGTCGCGCGCCCGCAGGCTCATCGAGGAAGAGACCTTCCAGCCTGGGGTACTGCGGCCGCACAGGTCCGTCCCTTGGGGATGCTCGGGGGCCCTACGGCCGCGCAGTGGCCTCCTCCGTCTCCCAGTTCTTTCCTGCTCTTTGGAGCCGGCGGGGGGTCTGAGGTGGCCGAGCATCCGAGGTGCGGGGCGGAGGTTCGTGTCTGTTTGCTTCTCCCTCCTTCGGCCTCCGGGTGCTGTTTTCGGGCCTCGGGGCCTTCAGGAACGGACCCGGGGTGCAAACCTGTCGCAGATGGGGGTCCCGGGACCGATTTTGAGCGGATGTGTTTTTGTTGGCAGATCCTCTGGAGGTCCCGCCTCCTCGCCTTCCTCCTTCGCCTCCGCGACCGTGGTCTGCCTTGCGTGCTGCGTCAGGCCCAGAGCACAGAAATGGCCGCCTGCGGGCCTTCCTTCTCTGCCTGCTCCGCTCCCTCTGCCCCCCGGCCCCTTGAGCGAGGAGCAAGTCGCTCGAATTACAGCGAGACGGCTGGCAGCGCGCGCCCGCAGGGCCACGCGAGCCGAGGCGGAGGCGCAGCGCAGGGCGCCACGGAGGGGGCGGCTGTTTTTTGCTTCCCACTTTCAGGCCGGCCCTCGTTCCGTTTCGGGCCCCACACGGAGGCCCCGCAGGACGCGAGCACGGCGATATTGCCGATGCCACCGTCCCATCCCCCCCGCCCCGACCGCCCGAGTGGCGCGAGTCTGCCCAGGCGACATCCCGGAGACGGCCCCGCCGGCCCCAGCTGGACCTCCCGAGTTGGCGCCCCTGCACCCTGAGCGGTGTGGTGACACCACCGCGTGGTGAGTCAGGTCAGTGGGGGGATCGGGAACACCACGCGGTTTCCCGACTTGGGTCTTTCTCCGCGGATGTCTCGAGCGATTGGGACCTCCGGGGTCCCCAAACCGTGCGGTGACGGAGCGCGCAGTGAGGTCGTTGGGGTTCTGAGATCGCCACGCGGTCCGTGACCACACGGCTTTGGGGGCCCCGAGATGCGGTCAGGATTTTTTGGTTGGCAGACACAGCAAATCGTTGATTCCCAGGAATACATAGGAAAATCTGGGAAGTGGGGAAGACGAACATTTGGAAAATATGGAGAAGGTGGGGAATCCTGGGATGTGTGTCCATCTATTGGTGCGTCCCTGGGCCACTTTAAGTACGATCAATTCCCCGTTTCCAAGTTTCAACGTCCCGAGCCTGTCCGAGCTTCCCGGCTCGCGAAGCGGAGCGTTCCTCTCGACACGCGGTCCACATTACAGGGCATTTTTCTTGTGGCCCGTGCCGCCGCCGCGACACGCGAAACGAAAGTTCCCGACCACAGCCCGGCTGTGCGTCTAAGTGCAGCCACGCGCAGAGGGGGAAGGGGGAAGGTTTCTTAGAATCATCCCTGGTTCTTAGAAGGCGCGGGCCTCCTCTGTAGATGTCAGGCCCGCGCTTTCTAAGAACCAGCCTCCTTGGAAGAAGCCCCCCCCCCCACCTCCAAACCCCTTGTGCGTGCTGCCAAAAAGAGTGGCCCTTCACCGGAGTGGCCGTCGATGCGCGGCGGGATACATTTGGGGCGTTTCCGTCGTTCCTGGGAGGCTTCGCTGCCTCGTGATGCGTTCCAGCAGCTGATCCTCGCCGAGATCGATCCGGGGGTGCCAGGATTGTCCCAAGCGGCCGCCGGAGATCCGAGTTATAGCCCGAAATCCGACTGACTTTTCGCCAGAGTGGCTGGCCTTTAGTGCGGGGCTTTCGGTAGGTCCGCAGGGATGGGGGACGGGGTGGGCAAACCGAACCACGCAGACAGGATCGCGTGCAACCGTTGGCAAACCGAGCGCCAAAGGTCGCTATTGCCCAGGGTAGCTCTGGCGTGTAGCCCAGTCCAGGGAGAGGGGGCGAGGTCGAAGACGCCCCGAACGACAGGACGAGGATGACGGGGAGGATGAGAACGAGGAAGATACTTGAAATAACCACGTCTGTCAGGAGGCCCAGGAACTTCTCCCCAACATGGCCCAGCGTCGCCAAAACCTCGAGCCTGTAACAGGAGGGGTCGGATGAAGGAGAAGCGGCACGACCACCACTTGCGGGCCACCTCCAGCATCGAAGATGTCCACGATGCCGACCCGAGCCGTGAATATAGGATATGTCTAGAGTTGGACGCGCAAAGCATGGGGACCACACAATCAGGGGACCATGCCTGGCTCTTGCCCCTGGTGGTGGTGCTGTGGCCTCATTGTCTGATTGTTCCCAGGGAGACGCAGAATGTATCTGGAGATCTGTAAGATTATGGTAGGCCTCGAGAGGCCAAAGAGGCGGGGGATTATGAGGAGGAAGAGGAGGAGGAGGACGCAGAGTTCCGATGTTATGATGCCTTCAACTCGGGAACCCCAGGCGTCCCCACACTTTCCTCCGGGCTGGGTTTTTCACCCCGATTCGTTATCTGACAGTCTCAGGGCTCGGCGAGGACCCCAGGAGGCCGACCATGGCGAAACGCATGCACACATACACGCATGCAAGTGTACACATCCATGTACACATACATACAGTTGTGACATGCATATATTGGTACGCATCATGGTATGCGTGTATAGTGTACGTAACTATTTATATGTACTCATACATGTATGTAGATATGTAGTTATATACGTATACTCACACAACACATGTATGTAAACAGATACGCAACTATAGCTTTGTGACCATTGACACAGACATAGTTTGTTTGGTGTGTCGGATGCCTGAAGCCTGGGGGAGACGAGGACGATCTGGAGTTGAGTAACGGTCGGATTCAATCCAAGATACAGCAACGATGCTGCAATACGCCCACCCTTTTCTCGGTAAGCACCTCAGAAACTCACTCCGGAAGAACGAGGGTTGTCGGCACAAGCCATTTCACACCATGACTTTCCACGACGTTTGGCATTGGAATGTCATGAGTATGGAAAGGCCCAGATTCTTTGCTTTGGTTTTGGTTCGCTGATCTGTCCTGGCCGCGTGGCCGACAGTGCATGCTTGTAGCTTGAACCGTGTAGGCTGGCTCGGGGCGGTAATTCGCAGTTTTGCGCTCTGCCTCCAGGGTGCCTCCCTCTCTTCTCTCCCTCTTCGCACCGTTTCCTCCCTCCCTCAGGTTGTGCACGAACGGATTCGTGCAGTTGGCGGGTGGTGCGGAGCTGTCCAGCCGCGCAGCCCGCACGTTCAGTCCCGCGGGTGTGGCCGAAATTCGCGGCTGTGTGTTCGGCCCGTGGATCTGTCCCAGCCGCGTGGCCGGTAGTGCACGCTCGAAGTTCTAATTGTGCGGGCTGGCTCGGTGCGGACATCCGAACACGCGTGCGCCGAGCCCTCAACTCTGCCACTGCCTACGCGGCCACCAAGCCTGGCAGCTTCGTGGGCCAGGGCGTTTCGGCGGCTGTCACTGCGCGGGACGGGACGCTTACTTTCGCACTGGCAGTCTTACAGGTCGGCTCTTTCTGCGAGGTCCCGCTGCGGGTGCTCGCCTCGCCTATTTTCCTGGACCTTTCGCCTCTCTCTCTCTCTCTTCCTTAGGTCGTTGTTTTTTTTGCGGGCCTGGTCTGCTCTCTCTGCTTGCCTCCCCTAGCCCGCCTGTCTGGGATTTATATTTTGCTTGGTAGTGCTGCCGTCATAGCGCTCGACGCTCGAGCGCGCGTTGGTTCGCGTGGCAATTCACGGAGATTGTTGTTGCGCCCTGGCTTGTGCCCCGTTTTGTGGGTCTCCTTCCCTCTTCCTCCTCCTCCTCCTCCTCCTCCTCCTCCTCCTCCTCTCCTCCCCCCTTCCTCCTCCCCCTGTGGCCGGTGTTTTTTTACGTCTGGCTTGGACCAGGATTCTAAGCAGCCGATGCGCGCGGGAGCCGTTTTGGGCAACCACGCTGCCCACTCCCTCCGCGTCCGCTCCTCTTCCTCGTCCTCCTCGTCCTCCTCGTCCTCTTCCTCGTCGCGCGCTCACCCGGGCAATCATTGTCACGGGTAGTTCGTTCCTTTTGTTGGTTTCTTTTTGTCTTGCGGGGGGCAGGGTTTGTCCGCAGTGGCCAGCGCTTACAGCACAGGGCATGTGGAGCTTCGTGGTCGTCCTCCGCTCCCCCTCAGAAAAAGCCCGGGGGCACACTGATGCCCCCGCATAATTCGTTGTCGATGCGGGAAGTGCCCTTGGAAGACGAGCGCCCCGTGGTCCGTCCTGCAATTCAGGCGAGAGCCTCGCTTGAAGCGCTTCTGGCTACGCGGACATCGGCGAGATCAGATCATACAGTCTTTGGCAGTGTCCAGCGAGAACCTTGCTTTGAATCGGAGCCGCCCTAAATCCGCGCAAGTGTTCTCAAACTCGCTGCGTCTGGTCATGCAACTGTTCTGTATCGGAGTTGGCAACCGCGCGAGCCAGTCGGTGCAAGCCGCGCTATAGGGGGAGCCCATTGAACGGGACGAGGAGCGGCAACGCGAGAGAGGGAGCAAGAACACTTCTGGTTGTCAAACACGGGAGTCTCAAGCACGAGCTTCGATTTGGGAACAGGAGCCACCCTCCACCCGTGTACATTGTGCACCAGGTATAGATTTGGTCACAATGTTTCATGCACAGCTTTATTCAAGTGGTTTACGCCATTTCGCCGGCCTCCAGAAGGAGCCAGAGACTGCGACGATCGTAATTAGGCTTCGTGGGGCTTCTTGAGGCCTCGTGGCCTCGTGGGGCTTCTTGAGGTCGTCTTGGAGGCCTCTTTGGGCCTCTTAAGGGCGCCTCGGGGGCCCTGGAGGGCCCCTGGGGCGATCTTGGATGGAAAAAGCTTGAAATCTCAGTTCGTATCTCCCCTCTTGGGCTCTCTTGGGTCCTCTTGGGGTTCTCTTGGGTCGTCTCGGGGGCCCCTGAGGCTGTGTCAGGGTCCTCTTTTGCCGTCTTTCGGCCCACTTGGGGGCCTCGCCGGCCGTCTTGGAACGATCTTTGGGGCCCGTTCGGCCGTCTTGGACGCTGTCAAGACGGACATGGTGAGTTCGTTTAAACTGTATGCAACACCCAAGGGAACAGGACGATGCTAGCCTCTTGGGGCTGTTCCGTCGGTCCTCTTGAAGCTCTCTTGGGCCGTCTTGGGAGCCTCGTGGGCCGTCTCGACGCTCTTTTGGGCTGTCGTGGCGCTCTTCGTGGGACCTTTTGATTACTCCTGCGCATGTTTGGAGGCTCCGCAGGCCCGGGGATGGCGCTGACGAGCTCGTAGGGACCCCCCCTGGGGAAAAGGTAATCCCCGGCGCAGAAGGGTCCAACTCCCCGCAGAGGGGTTCAATTGCCAGGAGCCAGTTTCAAGATTGTCATCTTTGAAGCTAAGAGCTGTGGTGCGCTTCCCCAGCTTGCCGAGAGGCTCCTTGGGCCGCCCGCCAGGCCTCTGTGGGCATCCCGCCAGGCCTCTGTGGCCATCAAGACAGGCCTCTTGGGCTCTCCCGACGGGCGCCTCTTGGGCCTTTCGAGCGGCCTCTTGGACCTCCCGACAGGCTTCTTGGACCTCCCGACATCGCCCCCCCGCCCAATCGGATTTTGGGCCCCAGGGGAGGGGTGAAAGGGGTAGGGGGACAGCCAATCATCTGTCACACGCCTTTGCACCCACGGCAAGCCTGGGCCGGCGGATTCTCAACAACCGTGGAGCTGCTCGAGTCCTGCAGGACGAATGCGCACTTCAGTGAGGCGAGAGAGCCGTAAGAAAGAGCGGCCCGCCCTCCGCCCGTTGGAACTGCTGCGAGGGCCACACACTGAGAAGGAGCCGCTCTCCATCCGTGGAGCTGTTGGCAGCCTTTGAGTCGAACGTCCGCGCCGGTGAGGCGAGAGCCACATGTTGGAATAGCTATGTGCCCCATCCCCGTAGACTGTTGGAAGATTTTCAGATGAGCGTCCGCGACGCTGGGGCGAGAACCGTATTTTGGAAGCGATGACCCCGCCTGCATCCGTGCAAGCGCGAGAGCTGCCGAGCCCCTGCGCCAAAACTCGGGCGGAAGTCTCCAGCGAAGCGCCCAGCCCGCCCTGCCGACACGCCTGGTGGCCAGACGAGGAGGAGCTGTCCTTCAGAAGTGGCTATCGAGCGTGCCGGGACATCGCCTCGTGCTCGGGGACCGATGAGGAGTTGACACCTCACTTCCCCGGCGGAAGGGCTGCGGAAGCCGGCGGCAGTAGAACATCCCCCCCCCCTTCAAGGGACGCACACTGCTCTGGGGTCGGTCGGCACGCACGATATGGATGCAGAAAGGATGGGCACAATGCCCAGCAGAAGTTCCTCTTCGTTTTGAACAGGACTCGCTGTCCGCGCCGCCGCGGCCCGTGCCCATTTGAGACAGAAGGCCGCCTGCCCAACAGCGGCCGTTTTCGGCTTGGGACAGCATTTGTTGTTGGGCATTGTACCCATCTTTTCCGTGCCCATTTCGGGCGTCCACATGCGATGTGCGCCGTTGGCGTGGCGACGTTGGCCCCCGACTAAGGGCCGCGCGCAATGCTGCCTTCGCAGACTGAAGCGCCGGCGCGAAGACGCAACGCAACACCGCACAGTCATCGACAACTCGTGCGTCCAATTCGGGAACCATTCGGGCACAGCTCGGGCACCATACCTTCCTGGGGCCCGTTCGCCCACGAGGTCCGGGGTCTCCCGGGGCCGTCCGGGAGCAGCAGGCAGCAGGAGGGCACCCGTGGAGCCCGCGGCGGCCCGCACAGGTCCAAGGAGGAGGACGAGGACCGCGAGAGGCAGCCCCTCTGGCGGACCGAGGAGGAGTCCGCCGCGGCCGCACGGGCCGCGCCCCGCAGGGAGGTCAAGCAGTGGCGAAGCGTCCTGGCGTGCCTATAGGCCTGCGTACCAAGCAATGTTCTAAGAGCCTCTGGAGGTTTTGACGAAACGTTCTCAGACCATGTCTGGCCGGGGCTGTCCTGTTGTGTAACATACCGGGCTCATGTTCTAATAATCTTCGTTATTAGATCTTCTTGGGGTTCTGAGAACATGTCGTGGTAGGCCTATAGATGCCGGGGCGGTCGGTCCCTCCCTCAAGGGAGGGGGAGGCAAGGGGTGGTGTCGGGGGAGGGAAATGATGACGAGGAGGATCGGCGACTACAACGGGTGTGGTTGCGCGGGGGTGTGGTTTGCGATCGACGGCGCTGTTGGGGGCTTAGCGGCCACCGCGTTGCGCCAAAAGTTTGATGAGCCCTCGTCGGTGCTCGGCAGAAATCTCTGTCAAGGTCCTCGCCCGCCACCCGAGGCGCGGTTTGCAGACCAAACCTGTTGCAAACCACAGCCTGCGGAGTCGCCGAGAGGGTGTTTTCCTCGCTCTTCTGCTACAGCTGCTAATCATCATTCTCACTACTCTTGCCCCTGATCTGCCTTATTCTCGTTATATTCCTCCCTGCCCCTCTGAGTCGCCTTCCTCCTCCTCTTCCTCCCCCCCGTGTCTGGCCTCTCCTAGTCCTCTCCCCCCCTCCCCTGCCTGGCCTTTTCTCTTCCTCTGCGCATCACCCTCACTACTACCACTCCTCATCATCGTCTGGGTTCCCAACTCGAAATGCAGTTTTGCCACTCCCCACAGACAGGCACTGCCCAAGGAGTTCCTCATCTGGTCTAGGAAGCAGCTCAGAAGCCGATCGCTCGCAGTTGGCCCGCGGCCCCCGCCCCCGCCCTTCAGGGCCCATTTCCATTCGATCGAACAGATCCGATATCGATTTCGCGCGGCTCGATCCAAATCGATTCCGATTTGCGGGCGGGTCGATCCGGCCCGAAGTTTATACGGATTGATCTTACATCTTGGCGCGTCCGATCCGATTCGATGTTTCGAGTCTTCGCCGATGCGGCCCGACCGATGCACGCTCCGATCCCACCCTATTTAGAGATCCGATGTCAATTGATGTTCCTTCCCACGCCCCTTGCTGCATAGCCTTTGCCACTTGCTCAACCTTGCCCCTTGCTGGTCGATTCTTCTTAGCGGTTCTACCCCTTGCTGTATGAGCCCCTTCTCGCGCCCTCTTGCCGCCCCCCTCCCCCTGTAGGAGCAACAGAGGCAGCGGAACCTCGCCCAGATCTACGAGAAGTACGGCGGGGGCAGCGGTGCTACCGGAGGCTCTTGCAGGCGTCCCGAGGACTCATTTTCCTCGCTCGCTCGCCTCTTCGCCGTTTGCTTCATGCTGTGTGCCTTCAACGGCTGCCGCGCACCAGGAAAGGTCAGACACAGGTTCCCCCTCGAGCGTGCGCATTCGACCATGGTCAGACACAGGTTCCCCCCTACCAGCCTACGATCCTCGCAGATCTGCGGAGTCGTGTGGGTGGTGCCTGCCGCCGCCACAGCTGGCCCCTCCTCGGGAGGAGTCCTTCTTGGCCGATCGGGCCTCCGCACTCCTCTCGCCCGCTGGCGCTCCGCAGGGCCAGGGCTTCGCCGGGAGAGCACGGGACGGTCGAGCCTGCCATGAGCTCGGGAAGTCCGCGGGGAGCCGTCAGGACAGCACGGCCACGGAGTCCCTCGAGCCCCCTTCTGGGGATGCCCCGGCCGCCTCGCTGGAGAGAGGCGGCGGTCCTCGCCGCGGCGGCGGCCCACGAGGCGCGGTCCGCGATGCCGCAGCCCGCAGGGCCTTCGCGTCGTGAGCTCCGGGGAGAGAGGTACCGCGGATCCCTGCGGCCTGGTGCGGCACGCTGCCATGCGCCCACCGGGTCTGTCCCGCGCTCCCGTGCGCATTCAGGGGCGCAGGGCTCCGCGTGCACTGCCCCGCCGCGGATCGGCCAGGTGGCCAGTCAGCAGAGCTTTCGCGAGGCGTTCTCTCTCAAGCGCCTCCCCTGGCATCCATGGGTGTTAGGTCGGCCCCAGACTGTTGGCGTCAGCGGCGCGGGCGTTGGCAGCATCCTGCAGCCCCAGCAGCCGAGACTCCGAATGGCACCCTTCCTTGGTGCGCAAGCCCTCCCCATCCGTAGGATCATACCTTCTGCGGAACAATCACCATCTCTGGCAGCGAAGGTTCTGGCCAACCCCTGGTGTTTTGCGGTCGAGTCCGTTGGTTTATTCGAAGTCTTCTCCACACGTAAGCCGTGTTGGGTTATCGCCAAATGATTACCATAGCAGGTGTCGGCTGTGGCGAGGCAATTCCACAGAGAGGGGTGGAGGCAGCAGCGGGGGTAGCTCCGAAAGGATCGCTTCGACAGGAATGAGGCGAGACAGGCAGATCCACAAAGTGGTGATCACATGCAGTCAAGACGCTATAGGAAGGACCACTTTGGGCTCAGGAGGGGCTCTGGTTTTCGGGCCGTTCCTTAGATTTGAAAGAGCGTGTTCTACCGCTGCTGGCGGAAAACCGGGGGGGGTCACTACCGGTTCGAACCCCTCCCCCCCCCCCCAGTTCATCATGAAAAGGGGGGGGGGTCACTACCGGTTCGAACCCCCCCCCCCCCCTTCTCGAAAACCGGGGGGGGTCACTACCGGTTCGAACCCCCCCCCCCCCCCTCGAAAACCGAGTGGGGGTGCGGACAGTGGTGGGGACGGTGGTGGTGGGGACAGTGGTGAGGGGACAGCGGGACAGTGGTGGGGACAGTGGGACAGTGGTGGGGACGGTAGTGGTGGGGACAGTGGTGAGGACAATGGTGGGAACAGTGGGGACACAGGACAGTGGGGACGGTGGTGGTGGGGACGGTGGTGGTGGGGACAGTGGGAATGAGGTGGAAACAGTGGGACAGTGGAGGGTACAGTGGCGGTGGGGACAGTGGTGAAGGCGGTGGCGAGGACGGCGGTGGGACAATGGGACAGAGGTGCAGTGGGGACAGTGGCGGGGACAGTGGGGACAGTGGTGGGAACAGTAGGACAATCCAGTGGGACAGCGGAGGAGTCAGTGGGACAGTGGGGACAGTGGGGATAGTCGGGCAGTGGTTGGGGCCGTGGAGAAAGTGGGAGAGTGGAACCGTGGTGGGAACAGTGGTGGGGACTGGGGACAGTGCGACAGTGGTGGGGCCACTGGTGGGGACAGTAGGGACGGTGGTGGAACCAGTGGGGACAGTGGTGGTGAGGACAGTGGTGCTGGGAACAACAGTGGGGATGTGATGCGGACGGTGGTAGGGACCGGGAGTCGTTTGCTGGCGGTGAGTGGGGGGGTGGGGAGGGGTTCGAACCGGTAGTGACCCCCCCTCCGGTTTTCGAGGGGAGGGGGGGGGGGCTCGAACCGGTAGTGACCCCCTTCGGTTTTCGAGGGGGAGGGGGGGGGGGGGGGGGGGGGAGGGGTTAGGGCCTAGGGGAGGGGGGGGGTTGCCGGGGGAGGGGAGGGGAGGGGGGGGGGGGGTCCAGCAGGGGGGGGGGGGGGGGGGTCGGAGGGGGGGGGGCTGGGTTCCGGAGGAAGAGGGTGGCAATTTTCCACAGTAAAGCGGCGGTGGATCACGCTCTCTCTTAGATTTAGGTCGTGGGACCTGTTCGTCGCCAAGGCTCGCTGTGGCCAGGCCGTTCCTTCGATGTAGGTCGTGGGACCTGTTCGTCGCCAAGGATCGCTGTGGCCAGAAAAGCCCCTTCGTTCCTTATGCAGCGTTCCCTAATACAAACGATGGCTGTACTTACACACGGTCCATCGCTGAACGCACGTCCGCATCCGCGCTTCCTCATCAGGCATCCACTCCATCTATTCCCGCTGTGATGGATCCCCCTGGGAGGGCGTGGCGCGCTCTAGCGGGCCGACAACGAGGCCATCCATGGTCGTCTGGCCTGGTTCTGTATATGAAGCCCGTGCAGGTATGTTCAATAAGCAAGCCAACAATCCAACCCACTTCGTGCTAAACTCAGAGCCATGTGAACAGCGTGCTTGCTCAAGGCTGACGTCTGTGAGTCTGTCTGGCACGACTGACAAGTGAGAAGCATGGGCTAAGCACGTTGGCGATGCCGTGGGTATTGTGCGGGAGCGAGCGGTGAATTGAATACGCCGCGCTACAGTCACTCGTGGCAAGAGCCAAGTACGCATGCGAGGCGGGGGCAGGCATTTGAAGTGGGTATTCGATCCAACGTCTGTCGTCAGAACGATCACGGGGCCCGCCTTAGGAATCGTCACGAGGGGGCGGCAGAAGGGGTCCTGGAATGCACTCAGCATGCACGTGCGCACGAAGCTCGGCCAAACGGCGGGCCCGATTCGCGTGGTTTCACAGCCATGCGGTCGCCAACTCACTCGTGCAACTCGTTCGGAAAACAGGCGAAAAGTGGGGCGAACCCAGCACGCCTGGAAACTCCTAGCCCTCTGGATGCGTGCCAGCAGCTCATCCGTTTCACCATGTCATAGCGCTCTTGCAATTAAGTGTACCACAGACGATCCGTATTGCATGGAGCTGAGCCTGGCTCTCCCGGTGTCTCGTGGGATGTGCTTCCACTGGATTTTGACCCGCTCGCAAGCGCTGGTCACCGTCCAATTGACGGTGTTGGGCTCGTCTTTCATAATACGTCCAATCCAGAAGGGGGAGCTATCTTTCAGTGGGGGTGCTGTTCGGGAGGAACGAAATCGCCAAGCCACTGAAGATCCTAAGTGGCCAGGTGCGGCCAAAGTCCTGGAACCCCTGAACTAGACTCACGCAGCGTCCTGACAATTGGTGGGGCATGGGTCAGGAAACGGGGCAAGAAGCGGAGGTGGGAGATCACGAGGGTCATCTCAAACAGCATGCATGCCACGGATGCGAATGCCGCGCGGCTGGCCACTAGGGAGGCTCTGTTCTGCAGCCGGGAGTGAGAGCATTCCCATACACATCAAAGTTGTGTCGATTGACCACGCTTTCCAGCGCCAGCATGCAACCTTTCCATGTCGAGTTGCAGTGGAACATCTTAAATGGTCCGAACGATTCAACATACATCCTCTTCTTGAGGAGGAGCGTCAAGGGGGTCGCAAAAACAAGCTTCTTCACATGTCGGATGGCCGATGTCATGCGGGTTGCCCGATACGAGATTTCAGCTTCAATCTCCATCGTGTCCCTCATCCGCCTCCTCCTCTTCCTCCTCCTCCTTCTCCAACAGGCCCCTTCATTAACTGTCTCAACTGTGGCGGCTCAGCCGCCACCCGACAGCCCCCAGTGTTACAGACCTTTGTAAAGGTCCAGTCATTTGGGAAACCAGTCGGTCGAGAATGACTGCCTTGAGCAGCCTCAAGGCAGGACGGCATCCGCGAACGGGGGAAACCCTAATCGGATGATTCCAAAGCTTGGGTAGCCGCCCCATTTAATTCCGTGGCTTCCTCGTTAGTTTCGGCTGGCTCATCCTCCTTTTCCTCCTCCTCCTCCTCCTCCTCCTCCTCCTCCTCCTAGTCCTCCTCCTCACCCTCCGCACCATCTGAATACGATCGCCCCCCCATCCGCACGACTCGCCTGACCAGTCGGGAGCGCATGCCCCGCGTGCGAGCGAAATTCGTGGAGGCCTCGGGCCCCTGCGCCTTCCGGGCCGAAGGTCGGTCCAGGCCCAGGGGAGGCAGCGCCTCGACCGCCGCCGAGCCACGCCGGGCGCCGAGGGCCGCAGCCAGCAACGGGGGCCAGGGCTCACCGGGTGGGCCAGTGTGGTGCGGCAGGCGGTGGGGGCGTCTCGTTTGCCACGTGGTCGTCGTCGACGCAGGCCCGGAACCAGAAGGCCAGCTCCCTCCTCATGCTGCACGAGGAGCTGGCCATCGTGCCAGTCGGGCACCAGTCGGCGAGGCGCGGGCGAGGCATCGGCGACGTCAAGGCGTTCCATGCCCCGCGCCCCCCTGGGGCTCAGAGGAGCGCACTGCGCCTGTCTCCACGGAGTACTCAAAAAGGCTTCCTGGCTGGTGTCGGGCGGAGATCCATCAGCTCGCTCCCTCATGGGGCCGAGAGGCCGTCTGCCCTGAAGCCTGCAGTGTGGGGCCTGCTGCGCATGGAGTCGCCCATGACAGAGTCTCTTGTGGTGCGGTTTGCATGCAACCGACTCCCTCCTCTTCCCCCCCCTGGCGACGCTGACGCTGTGGGCGAATCTGGTGCAGGCCCTGGCGCCCTCCACCTGGGCCACAAGCCAGGGCAGCGGGAAGAAGCACAAGCAGGCAAGGAGAGAGGAAGGAAGGACCGACCGAACGCCAGAGGACAGAGCGACTCTCCCCCCTCCCATCCCCTCCCCCTCTCGGGCTGAACGAACAGGCAGGATAGGGAAAGGAGGGGGGGGGGGTACGACATCTGCTGCAGCCAGCTGGTTTCCGCTCCGCCGCCGGGCCCATCCCTCGCTGCATGGGCGCCTCCCGGCGCCAGGAGGCGCAACGGAAAACCAGCTGCGTGAGCCGATTCTCTACCCTGCCCTTCGCTGTTCTAATTGCCCTTTCGCCCACCCCCTCCCCCCCTCCCCCTCCGCCTCCCCTCCACCTTCCCTCTTCCTCCTCCTCCAGCTTCCCCAGGCCCGTCCCGTGCTCCTGCAGCTGCTCTTAGCCCTGAGCTCCCAGTCCAGCTCCTCCTGGCGCTGGTGCTGCTGACGTGAGGGCTAGTACGCAACGCTGCCATCATCGCTCCTCGCTCCTCTTCCTCGCGCCTGCCCCTGCAGCGTAGTTCCGCGGCCCAGTTGATCCGATTCGGCATTGGTGTTTGCCGGCCCAGTCTGACGCGACGCCGGCGTTCTTCGCCACATAGCAGGAGCGTTCCGAAGGAACGGGGTCTTGTCGGGGCCTTCTCGGGGCTGCGGGGCCGCCGACGCACGACTCGGGATGATAGGCCTCTGCCTGGGGAACGCCCTGGGCTTCGGTAGCTAGTCACTGGAGCCATGTATGCCCTCGCAGTTCTGTCTTCAGAGTGAATTTGCGCGTGTCAGCGTCTGGGAGTCGAAGAGAGAGCCAAGTTAGCGCCGATCAGCGTCAACTGGCGCCGACTAGCGTCGATTTAGCGGCGGCTGTCGTAGATTAGCGTTGGTTAGCGTCGATCCGCAAGAGCCAGCAAGATGATATGGGGGCTCCCATGAGTCGTCACCGAACTGGGCTCCAGGAACCGTTTCCTCAGGACTCGTTGCTTTCATGCTGAATTCCGGCGGTCCGACGCGGCCAGGTGTTTGCATGGCGTCGGTGTGCATTTTGGCGTGACCAGTTCGATTCGATTCCAACTCCGTGCCGATGGCGGCCCAACCCAGCGTACGTTCCGATCCGGTCCCGCTTTCGGATGTGATGTGGTCCCCGCCGTGAAAGACATGAGCCTTGCGGAAGCAGGCCCTCGACCCAGACGCTTCCCGCGACCAGCTCCTCGTCTTGAGCACTGCTCAGACGGCCTCGGGGGCCGCGGCTGGCCCCGGGGTCCCGAAGGCACCCGGGCCCGTTCTCTTCACGCCGAGCCTTGTGCCGGGCTGTACATGTGCCAGCCTCTGCGCAGCTATCGGCCGAGGACACCGAGGGCCCGGACGTCATGAGGCTCGGCTGAGCCTCCCCTGCTCGAGGGCGCGGCGGGGGCCGGCATTCCTGAGCCGCGGGGCGGGGCTGCAGAACGGAGCCGAAGGGCAGAACATTGCACAGGCGCCGAGTCACGAAGGCGGGGCAAAGCCATCACCGCTGGCTTCATGCCCCCGGGCCCCCTTCGCGTAATCAAGATATCGGATCCTCAGGGAATTAGCGCTTCGGCCCCCACGAACGAGGTGTCACGTCGCTTCGCTGCTTTATCGAAGGCGCCTGCCTTCCAGACATATCTGCATGTCAAGCGAAGATGGGGCCATGTTAGTGGGCTAAGTTTCCCCCTATCAGCGCTTGGGGAAACCCTTGGGGGAACAGGATGGGGCCCCGCGGTCACGCCGGGGCTCTATTGGAACTCTTTTCGGTCCATGTGTGCCTTCTTGTGGGCCTCCTGTTGGCTCTCTCGGGTCACCTTTGGGGCTCTCTCGGGCCGTCGTACGGTGCTCTCGGGCCGTCTTGCGCCGTCGGAGACCGTCATGGGGCCGTCCCGGGGCCTATTTGGCAATCTTGGGGCAGTCCTCGGGGCCTGGTGGGCGGCCCTGGCAGTTTGGAGGACGCAAAACCATTCAATCACATTAGGAGCACTGGCGTCGGCGACTACAAAGGGTATGGTTACGCCGGGCTGGGGTTTGCGATCGGCGCCGTTGGGGCCTGTGGGGCACGACACTGTCATCGTCGGGCCGCCTCGGGGCCCGGCGGAGAGCTGTCGAGGTCCTCGCCCGCCCCCCAGGGTGCCCCGAATTAGGTGCTGGTTGCAAACCACACCCTGTGCAAACCACACCCTCTGGAGTCGCCGATAGTGATCTCAGTTCCCTGGGCGGTCCTCTGCGAGATCCGCTTAGAGCCCCTTGCGTCGTTTTGGAGTCCTCCCACGCGTTCGTAAGGCTAGGTCCATCTTGGGGCCGTTTGGGACGCATTTGGGGGCCACCTTGGGCTCTGTTGGGGTCATTTCGGCCGTCTTCGGGGTGTCTTCGGACCGCCTTGGAGGGCAACTTGATTGGAACAGTCGTTTGGGAGCTGACGTCTGCGGTCGATTCTGCGGGGCTGGCGGCCTGGGCCAGAGGCCACCGATGATTTGTCGGAAGGGGTCAGCATGAGCTACACACACTGTTCGTTTCTAAGTCTTCGAAAGTTATTTGATTTCTTGGAGGGCCAAGATCCTTTCACTTCTAAGTGCTCTATCCTGGGCCTCTTCCTGGCCACTAGGGGGCCAGAAACAATTAGAAACGAGCACAATTAGAAATGAGCACGACTAGACATGACGTGTAAACTTCAGCACGCCAACCCCCCAGCCGCAGGCTGCGGGAGCGGCCCCGTGGCCTTCGGCCCATCCCGCCACGTCGCCGAGGTGCTGGGCCGGAGGCCTCGTGGCTTCTCCTGGGGTCCCTCGGGGTTCCTCTTGATAGGCCTCTCGGCAGGCTTCTCGGGCGCCTCTCGGGGGCCCGCTGGCCCCATGCGGCAGCCGCCGCCTTGCCGCACTGCCTCGTCTCCCCCCCTCCCCCCCGCCGCGCCGCCCTCTGGCGCGCAGCGCAGCAAGGAACGGGGTAGAGAGCGGGCTGACAGAAGGGTTCGGAGGTCCGCGCTGACTCCTAGGGATGTTCGCAGGGCTCCTCCTGGAGGCGCCTCCCAGGAGCGCCGCCCATCGGCGTGCTTCGCACGCCGAGGCAAGATGGGCTCTCAGCGCCTACCCATGGAACCCGCGCGGACCTCCGAAAGCTGGTGCTCGTGTCGTGTCGATGTTCTGTTCTTCCACTGGCGGCGGCAGCGACCGCCCGGGGCAGAGACGCCAGGCAGGCTTCGGAGGACGAGCGCGCCGATGGCCCTCTTCCTGGCCCGGGCGCTCCCAGAGCTCGCGAGCGACGGCAGGGGCGCCACGCCCTGGGGGGAGCAATACATGTATCCAGTCCGCTCCTCGGGCACTGCCCGGGTCGGGGTGGGCCTTGCTGACAGGGCCCCTCCCAGCGGCGGGCCTCGCCCGTCACGCCTCCGAGCCGCTGGCGAAGAGGAGGCAGCCACAACGGCTGGGCTGGGGGACGATCGAGTGCCGCGCGCGCGTTGAAGCGCAGCACGTGCCGTGCTAAAGGCGTATTTGTTGACACGCTGCGATGGTGTGCTGGTTCGGCACGTGTGGCCCCACGTTTGGGCGAACGTATCGCGCCATACCCACGTCTTCAGTCTACGTGTTGAGCTCCGTGTCAACACGCTACGTGATGCGCTTTGCGCATCGGGGCAGCTAAGGCGCGCTGATCATCACCGCTGCGGGTTCGGGGTTGGCCTCGGTGGGGGCGCCAGAGGCGACTCCCTCAGCCCAGCGCTTGTGGCTGTCCCGCCTTCGCTCCTGACCGAGGAGACCGAGAGCGACTCTTGCCCTGCGGAAGCGCGGGAAAAAAGAGGGCCGCGCCCCGCCCTGCTCGGGGCCCTGTAGGCAAAGGGCGCGGTCGCAGGCAGATGTTTTAAAGGCGCCCCTCGAAGCCTTCAAGAGGCCCAGTCCGCCCCGCCCCCCAGGCGCTCCAAGAGGGCTCCCATACTGCCCCCAACGCGGCGGACCAGGAGGCACACATCATTGGTTTTCCATTGGTTTTCGACGTTTTGTGCAGCTCCCGCCTTAGGTAGGCAACAACCCACGAAGGATGAACGAACACTCAGGACCGATACGAGCCTCCGATCCGTAAAAGGAGGCTCACGTCGTTTTCGTCGTCGTCGTCGGTTTTGTCGTCGTCGGCTTCGTCGTCATCGTAGTCGTCGTCGGTCGTGTCGTCGTCGTTCGTCGTCGTTCGTCGTAGTTCGTGGTTCGTCGTCGTCGTCGTCGTCGTCGTCGTCGTCGTGTCGTCGTCTTCGTCGTCGTCGTTTTCGTCGTCGTCATCGTCGTCGTTGTCGTCGTGGGCCTCGGAGGTTCCGCAACATTTGCGGAACGGGATCCTCAGGGGAAAGGGTCTTGCGGGAAAGACGTGCTCAGATGTGTTGGCGGTTCCAGCCTCCCGGAGCCATCCGGAGTGTCAAAATCCGAAAGAGCTCGAACCTCGACGTTCGAACCTCGTCCCCCCCTCCTCGAGGCTTCTGATCGAGGGCGGGGGAGGAGGAGCAACAGGAGCAGCCGGAGGGGAAGGGGAGTAGGAGGAGTCGCGAGGAGGAGGAGGAGGAAGGAGGAGGAGGCGGAGGAGGAGGAGCAGGAGGAGGAGGAGGAGGAGCCGAGAGTAGGAGGGAGGAGAAGGGAGGAGGCTTCCACGAGGGCCCGCATAGACCCCCCCCCCAGGCTTCACAATTCAAGACACCTCCAAGAGACCGTCGAGAGATCCCCACGAGACATTCACGATGGAGGAGGGTGAGTCGTGAGCAGGACAGCGGGAGCAGGGGAGGACGGGGGCACAGAGAAAACAGGGGAGGAGGAGGATGAGGACCACAGAGAAGGAGGGTTTAGGGAGAGAGGAAAGGGAGAACCACGGAGGGAGCAGAGAAGGAAAGGGAGGAGAAGCAGGAGGAGGAAGAGGAGGAGGACCACAGCAACGGCGAGGACCGAGAGGGACGAGGACAGGAGAGGGCCGAGGCGGACGGAGGCTCCGCAAAACCCACATGCGGGTAGATTCGCAGCGTCGCCCATGAAACAGGTAAAAACGAGAGCCCTGGCTGAGCTGTGCCTAGAACCTAAGCCCGCGTATCGAGCGCGTGCTTTTTTATATTATTAAACCTAGAGGGAGAGCGAGAGAGAGAGAGAGAGAAACGAACTAATCAAAGGAGGAGGGAGAGAGAGACAAAGAGAGAGAGAGAGAGACAGACAGACAGACAGACAGACAGACAGACAGACAGACAGACAGACAGACAGACAGACATACAGACAGGCAGGCAGACAGACAGACAGACAGGCAGGCAGGCAGGCAGACAGGCAGACACACAGGCTTTCGACGTGTAGTTACATGCTTATATATGTGCACGTGTCCGTTTATCCTACACATCCAGCTAAGCTACATTATGATAGCCGCACTTGTGCGTACATTCGCAGGAAAGGGAGAGAGAGAGACAGAGAGAGAGCAACGGACGGATGCACGATGGAAAGCGATAGAGAGAGAGAGAGAGATAATGATACCAGAGAAAACCCCAATCATAATCTGTTTAGGGGTATAGGGCTATAGGGCTACATGGGCCATAGGGCTACATCGGCTATTGGGCTGCGGGGCCATTGGGCTACAGGGCTATAGGGCTATCAGGGCTATAGAGCTATAGGGCTATAGGACTGTAGGGCTGTAGGGCTATAGGGCTGTAGGGCTAAAGGGCGATTAAGCTGTAGGGCTATAGGGCTATAGGACTATCTGGCTATAGGGCTATAGGGCTGTGTGGCTATAGGGCGATAGAGCACCCAGGCACCCACGGGCACCTCCGGGCACCCCAGGGCACTTCCAGGCACCCCTGGGCACCCCCGGGCACCTCTGGGCACCCCTGCAGGACCCCTGGGCACCCGGGCACCCGGGCAACCGGGCCCGCCGCCGAAATCGGCGGCACACCTCACCTAATAATATGAATCCGCTAGGACCCCTACAGAGGCAAGCTCTGATGGGGGGAAAAACATATCGAGAGGGAAGGGGCAGCTACATATACTTTCAGACGATCGTACGTATGTGTACATATTCATACTGGGTCTGACAATACAGACAGGCAGGAGAGAGAGGGTGAGAGAGAGAGAGAGAGAATCTTGGGAGAGGGAGGGATACGTAGAGAGAGAGGGGAATCTATATATATATATAGAGAGAGAGAGAGAGAGAGATCGAGATATGTGTGTGAAAATATATGTAGAGAGAGAGAGAGAGAGTGGGAGACTGTCATATACTGGCACCGCTCCCTCCTCGCTTTTGCCCCTCTCCTCTCCCTCCCCTCCCCGCCGTGAAGCTCATTGGCTACTGCTCGGCTCGGGTGCTAGACCTTGATTGTGTATTGATTTTCTTTGCCCAGCGCCGACCAGGGCGGCGCCGTCACCAGCCGTCC